AATGCTTGAAATTGAACTTAGAAAGCTCAATCGGGGCTCGTTGGAAAGGTTGTTTAATTATCTTTCGAGCGATAGCACAATATTGACACAGCTAATAAAATTGCACAATTTTGCACGCGTGAGTAAATCCCAAAGTTTCGATGAAAACAGAAAAACGGCTCACTAAAGAGACGTAAACAAAATACTTCCATTTGAATGATATCACAAGATAGAGCTCACAAAACTGGATCGAATGAACGTAGACTCGACGTAATTATCCGTAATTATCAGTTTGAGCAAAGCAATTTGTTCTAAGAGGTCTTGTTCATTTTTGGCCGTTGAAAGAAACCGTCAACCGCAACCTTTGCGTACTACTCACAAATGTGGGTAGAGATGAAGTGGCCCACCGCAAAGGACACTCAGATCGCGGGTTTTGACACCTCAGCCGACCGTCATGAGGCGCTTCAGGACGCGCAGCTCCAAGTTGGTGTGAACCCCCTGTCGCATACCGTGGCAACGCGCACCCTGCTGAATCGAGCGCTACCGACGTTGGACGGTGCCACGCATTCGGATTTACTGCTCAATCATTTCATGGAGAGCCTGCCGGAAGACTTGTAAGAGACGTCATGGATTATTATTGCCGAGAAGACCATGGATGTATTCAAACTGGCGGATGTCCTGAGGAAATTCACTTGGAAGAAATTCACACCTGTCCGGTCAACCGAAGGACCTTAGACATCAGCCTGCAGGAGTTACGGCAACTTTCAAGGAATAAACGGAGGAGGTGGCTTCCATCCAAATCGATTACAACCAGAGAGCTGTCACCAAAGGGGATTCTGAGCGCGAAAAGCCAGAGTGTTGACAGAAAAATTGCCCCGAGACAAAGCAGAGAACTCCTGACTTCTTTCCACTCCTTGTCCCCGGACACGGCCGCTTCTGGAACGGCTGATGTCGCGCGTCCGGATTTAATGCTGGATCGCCTTTTGGGAGCCTGCCCGAGGGCTTGCGGGAGACGGTATGGATAAGTAATACCGAGGAGACAGTAAGTGCTTTCAAACTGGCGGATGTGAGGGAACTCACCTCAAAGAAAGTGACACCTGTCCAGTCAATCGAAGGCTCTAGATGCCAGCCTATGGGAATCACGGCAACTAAACTAACTAACGGAGGTGGTAGCCATCCGAACTGATTCCAATCAGAAAGCTCTCGAGAATGGGGATTTTGAGCTCGAAGATTCTGGATGCCAGCAGAAAAACTGCCCCGAAACACAATGCAAGTGGACCCTGAGAGAAACCCCTGACTGCGTTCAGATCCGTGTCTCCAGACAAGGCCCCTCCGGAACGGCTGATGATTGTTCAGTCCAGACCCCAATGGAGATGGGGGATCAGGACATTCCGCGTGTGTCTGACACAAGTGCTGCTGTTTTCTATGGCGGAATCTCACAGTCAACTGGGTTAGTCGAATCCTGGGATTCAGTAATGAAGACCGGACGGCAACACAGGTCGCAATTTGACACCGCGACAAATCAACCTAGCTCTCTATGTAAAGAAACATGAGGGACAAACAAAATTATGTCAGATTGTCAGACAAAACAATGAGTAAGCTAAGAATACAAGTGAATCGGAAACAAAGTGCTAGCACCATGTCGGAGGCCGTGTCGGCGAGCGTGGGACAAGAAAGTTACTGCCCGGATTGGAAATATCTTATAGAATACGGAAAGAAAAGCATCTAGTGAAAAAAACTTCAGGAGGTGAACGGCGACAAGTCTGTGTATCAAAGTGAACACGATAAATGGTGTTAGAACCATAGCCGTACGCCAAAAAGTCGTCAGAAATCAATCTACTGGCCGGGTCACCAACGATCAATCATGAAACCACAAGAAGTTGTTAACCACAGACAGACCCACTCGAATTATCAAAGGAACGATGTCACTGCTCGTTGTGTGCAAATTTCATTTTCGCCGGAGAGGAGTACTGAGAGGTACTACAAACATTTGTGAGTATTACACAAAAGAATGCTACTGGCGGTTTCTTTCAATGACCAAATGGAAAAGGCCTGTTGGAATGAATTGCTGCTGTTCGGTATGGTGAATACAAGAATGCACATCTAACAGTGAACCACTCTATCAACTACCTTGTGTGCGTGTGGGAATTCTGAAGACTCGTTCCAAATTAGAAATATTGTTGTGTGAATGCTGATTTACCGATACCCGGACTAA